ATTATATATATATATATATGATCGCAATCTATATTTTCAAACAAAATAAAAATTAACTTACCTTGAAGGGTTTCTCTTGGGTGTGTACGCGCAAATGACGTATTAGATCCGACGGCTTTTTGAATTCTTTTGGGCAAAATGAACACGCATACCATCGTACGTTTCCTACGCAGCGTTGTTTTATAGTGAGATACTTCCTGCGAATATAGATAATTACTTTTTTATTACGCAATCATGATATAATACATACAATTTCATTTATTCCGGTGGATAATCATACATATTTTTAAATTGTTAATTTCATCACGACTTTATGCTCTCGTTTAAAATGAAAAATTACCTCGAAGTACCACCAGCAGTTCTGTCTACTAGCGTGACATACGACGTTGATGAATCAGTTTTCTTTGGTTCTGCAGGGAAAAGAATATTAGACATTCACTGTACTATTTAAAATATTTATAAAAAATTATGTTTATAAGCAATTTTATATTTATATTTAAATGTGATGCTTATCATTTAACAAATGGTAAATATCTAATTATAAAATACAATTACCTTTCGAAACGACATCGTTTTTATTCGGTAAACCGCTGTTTTTTAATGCCTGTTGCAAAATATCATTCTGCTCCGCACTTAAGGTCGTAGTTCTTGTGGAATCTGCAGTATTATTCACAACGGATTCCAAAGATGCCAATTGTGATATAACACTGTCGACGGTCGCACGCATTTCAGCTTCCGACGAGATACGATTAGCTTCCGAGGATTTTGCGCTGAATTCCTAACAAACATAACAATTCTAATGGGTCATCAATTCTTAGCAAAATCGCGTAAGATTCGTAACGTGTTCTCGTAAAACTTGTAAGAACTTGTAAATTTTATGGCTAGTAAGAAGCTGTCTGTAAAAATATTGTATAAAGATATAAACACTTAAAAATTCTTACAAGTTTTACAGAAATATATTACGAGCCTTACGATTCTGCTTATAATTTAGGTATTAGTTTGTAATTCTGAATCATTCTACATAAAAAGTATCGTATTTACCTCCGAGGTAACAGAATGCATTCGCTTTATGTGTCCATTTAAACTGCCCAGCCTCTTAAAGACGCAGGAACAATAGGAACACGCATACGTTGATTCACCTTCTGGTGCATTGTGCACTCTGAGTATGTGCGCCTTTAGATTTCCTTTAAAAGAATACAATAAATTCGCAATGATTTAAGACGTATGATATATGGCACACTTAAAGATGTTTCTGAATTAATAATTCGACTGAAAATAAATAATTTTTCATAAAAATAATACAAAAATAATACTAAAATATTTTTCATGTAAAAGATTTTGGAAAAATAATTGCAAGGATTGATAACGCATTTCTCTAAGCTTAACTTATTTTTTTTTATTGTTTATCAGTTCAGAGACATTTAACATGTAACTTTAAATTTCCTCAAACCTTTTTGACTAAATTTGGCGTTACAGAGACTGCAGGCATGTGGCCGAATGCCCTTATGTTGCCATGCATGGATTTGTAGCGAACTCTTTTGCGTAAACGCCCTGTTGCAGACAGTACACTGCACAAGAAAAAGCGTATGTGTGTGAAACTATCATTCCAAGTATTATCATCAATGTAAGTTCCTTCTAGAAAGCGAAGGAATTTTTACCTCAAAGGGCTTTTCTCCGGTATGTATTCTGATATGTCGTATTAATTGGCTCGGTTTTTGGAAAGTCTTCAAACATATGGTACATTTGTACATTGTTTTATGTTTCGTTCCCCTCTTAGTTTGTTTTACTATCTTCGTCTGTAAAGAAATAAATGCAATAAGACTCTCAGGTATGAACGCGATCTATTTATTAAAAACACTCCCAACGAAAAAAGAATAAAGCGAACAGAGAAGTTAATTACAGTTTTATATAAAAAACGAAGAAAATAAAATAAAAATAAAAATATAAGAAATAAATACAAAATAAACTAACGCAGCATTGTCAATGTTATTGAACTGCTTATGAAACGTAATAGGTTTCTTTCTATTTACCCTGTAATGCTCGCGAATGTGCATTCGGTAGAGTGCGGGCTGTACGAATTGTTTGTTGCATAATTTGCATTTCCGCACATCCTCGCTCGCCCACTTTTCTCCGTGAAGTTTTAAATGCGCATCCAATTGGGCCTGTTGTAATACACATAAAAATTTAAATCTTTACAATAATTATAAATTATTCTACATTATCCATTTCATAAAATTCATCAAGATTATCTTAAATTCTTCATAAAGTACACATCTTTGAGCATTCTTGCGGCTACATAATAATTTAGGGATTACTGTGATCGATGTACCTTATAATACTGTGCGCTGATACCAAGTGCGAGATGGAACACGCGCGTGCAAACGAAGAGGAGCGCGAAATTCAGACAGTCTACGGCGAAAGACATATCGGAAGACGGTACTGTGGCTCGGATTATGTCGTGTAACATAAAGTAATATGCGCTGGTAGGCAGTGAGTACTTATATGGCAGTGCTTGATGCAAAAAGTAGGACGAACACAACGCGGTGAACCACCGAATTACGGTGGCTATCGATTGATCGTTTTGAGAAAACGTCTTTTTTCCAGAATCAACGCTGATAAAAAATGAACACAACATTGAACACGAAATTTGACTGTTACTATCGCGTTTCGATAGTAAATTAAATCACGTATCTACGTCATACATACACATGATTCCGCTAATAAATCGTGTCAAGCGATAAATCCAGATTAAAAAGTCGCTCGCAGCATTTTTCATCATCTACCGGTAAAGGGCATCGAGAAAGAAGAAGCGAAGTAAATTAAAGATCAGACTACTCAAGCGATTAATCATACACGGAGCTTTATTGCATTGCGTCCACGTGGTGCAACAACCGGGCAAAAATTCGATTCTCTCTTTCTTTCTCCCTTCTCTTGATACTTTCTTCTGCTACACTCTTCTCGCCTATCTTCTCTCAGAGAATGTTGTATCAGAACATGTAATAATTCTCTTTCGTGTTTCGTATTTTCTTTTTCTCTGTCTTTTTCTCTCCTCCGTATCTTTCCACTCTATCTTTCTTCAGTGAATTTCACCTGACGGTGCATATAATAAAATTCTCCTTCTTCCTTTTCTCGTCGCAGCGTCCGAAACTGGCAGTGACAGTTTCAAGACGATCTCGAGATCGTGGAGATTGCCGTGCTCTCTTTAATTCCTACACATCGCCGCCAGTATCACGCCTCCGAAGGAGGACATTGCACTTTTTCCGGTACGCATATTAGCGGTTCAGCCGCAGCAGCTCCTCCCCGCTCGCCGTTTGATCTTCTCAAAGACGTCCAATCTTCCTCGTCATTCCTCTTCTTCTTACTCTCTTTTCCATCCACGAGTTGTCGTACTCTTCTTCCTCTTCCGCTTGAATGTCCTACACGTCCTCCCGTATCTTCATCTTCTTCTTTGTCGTGCGTTTCACTCTTCTGAGACTCGTTTTCCCTTTCCAGCAGTAAAATGCAGTAAAAGCAGCAGCAGCAGTAGCACTTCCTCCGCGATGACGAGATTTCGGTTCATTAACGACCAGCTCGTCGCTCGCATCTCGAATTTCTCATGTCAGACGCTGCCGTCAACCACCATGGGATGAGTCGGCGATCTGCATAAGTAAACTTAAGACGGCATACTCGTAAGTTCGTAAAATTTTATGATAGACGAAGATTTTAGATTGGCAATATTCCAGATGAGGTAATAGAAAAAGAATTGATGGTAATTCTTACAACGATTTTGTCTTTGCAACTTTTATATATGAAAAAAATTGAAGGTTCAATGAAAGCGGTTCAGAAAACATCTAAAAAAATCTAGACACACAGTTTGTTGCAATAATTATTCATGATCATTAATTGGAAATAAAAAAATCAAACAAAACATGGCAATAAGATTAAAAATAATCTCTCCCGTTCTTAAAATTCTGAATTTTATCTCGAGTTAAAAAAATTCACAGATCGAATCGATGGATATATTTTGCAGTAGCAATTCTTTATAGCAAAGCGCATCAAATCACTAGAGCACAGAACATCTAATCACGTTGACGTAGCGATTCAGGAAACGACCTCCGGCTTTGATATACCGCCCACCTTTGAAGAGAATGTATCATCGCTAGTTACTCAAGCATAGTCTTTTGTATTTCAAGCATAGTCTTTCCAAAATAATCATAAATTTACGTTACATAAATAACACACTCTGAATTAATATCGAAGAAAACTAACGAAGAACTTCTTGTAAAAACACATTACAGCGCACTGGATCAAAGACTGGAAGAATCAACTTCATAGAAGATCTTTGCACATCTTCCCTCGTTATTCAGAAACGAGGACAATCTAAGCAGTGCGAATCATTGCAGCGAATGGGCGAATTGGCGTGTCAAGTGTCATGCGGACGCGGGCGATGCGAATAACTCGAGACTGAAGAATAAAAAGAAGATCGACGGCGTTAAGGGACGGAGTTCCTAAAATACGATCTCGGGGAAGCGTCATCGGTTTCTTCGTATTAAATCACTCTCTTTTTCGCCGCTGTTCCGTACGCCATCACAGATTTCGCTGATAGTCTCCCTCTGGTCTTCATCTTCTTCAACGCGTTACGTTGCGGTCAGATTATTATTCCTTCGTGCGTAAACATGAGCATGAAACGCGCGAAATTGCGAAAGATTACACTGTTCCTCTGACTTAAGTTTCTTCCGCGAAGAAAACTTGATCTTCCGTATGCCTTGACGCGGCACGTGCCCATCGATCGTTTTTATATCTTAATACGATTGCAATTTAAATGTCACTTAGAATGCAAGCGATCTTGACGGAGAATCGAGAGATTTTCAGGGTTAATGTTATAAATAATAGTGAGTTATCATCGGAATAGCGACTGTATATCCTCACTCTTCCCGGTAAAGTTCAACGGTTCGTTTCTTATCAACGGCATAACGACGGTCGCACTATCGCCACTTTTATTTCGCTTGACAATCCTTCCTTTCCGTTGTCTACTTTGACTTCTCTCGCGAACTCGTTTTGTATTTGTTATCCTTCATTGGTGCACGTTCACCGTAGATTATCAATCCAAGACGCATTGAGTATCGACTCCACCTAAGCAACAAAAACGCACATTAATTATTTATGCCCGCAATTCTCTCTCCTTTTTGTATAAAATTGATTTCACATGTTGTACACTGTGTACTAAAAGGAAACACCATCTGCACGATTTCTATCACAAACTTCAGTTTCGAGGAAAGGCGAGAGACCTCCTCGAAGACCTTTCAAGTTCGGCGCCAGAAAAAATATACGGATCCATGAACGAGACGTGTAAAAACTGCCAGAACGATAGTAAGTTACGTTCCGAGAGAATATTCTTTCCCGTCGATGTTTGGAAAGAAGACAAGATATTAGGTTGTGAAGATCAGTGAAATTATGATATAGAAAAAAATTGAGTGTCCCGAATTATCAATTAATATTACAAAGGAACAGTTTATTCACAGTAAATTTCTGTCATTATTGTTTTGTGAATTTTCTATTTCTTCAATGGTAAATTCCAAGGATGCGGAATATGTGCAAGTAACTTTCCAATATGTGACGATGATTTAATCAATGCATCACGAAACACAATCTCTAATTAATCCAATAAGGAAGAGTTAAATAACGGCCACGCAATCTTGCGAATAAACAAACATAAAGTCTTGCACTCCACTGACATACGTCTTGATTTTGACAAAACCGCACTTTTCTTAGAAAGGATATGCGTTTGTAGATGCACGTGCACACTTCGCGAGTATTCGTTACTCACTGACGAAGCGTCTGTAAATGTCGCTTACGTCGTCGTCGTCGTCGAAATCATCATATTCGTCGTCGTTATCGGTTCTCCTTTCTCTCCATGAGTTACTTTTAGATTTATCCGAGAAATGTAACAGTAGACGAACTATGTCAAATATAACAGCTCAAAAAATTCAAATTCGTATCATCTTTATATAAACAGTCTGTTTTTTTCTCTACATTTTTTTCTTCGATTTTCTTTGACTTTTCTCTCTTTTTTTTCTTAACGTAATTATTATTATATCTTTCTTCGATATAACATCTAATATTTTTTTATTTTCATATTTCCTTAGTCTTCTCTATTTTCAAATATATTTCTCAATATTTATAATGACTATCTCTGTGATTAAAATTAAAGTGCTTATATCGCTTTCTTTCTTTGACTCTTCCTTTACTTATAATAAATTGAATTCTTAAGCTGGTATAATCCTTTTTGGATATATCCATGATTTTCTCTACACTGATCTCCTCTCCTTTCTTGTACCTAAAATGAGTATGTACACAGTATTAAATATACTGGCCGAGATGCATGATACAGCGACGCAACGCTTCCTGGAGTCTCCACATTTCGACATCACACGAGCGTTCACGCGTGTGCGTGTAGACGCATAGCGCATGTCGGTGATCAAACACGAGGGCAATCGGCGAGAGATCTGTGTGAGATCATGCGATTCGGTTGCGTAATTCGTGTGCGTCCCATTAATAAATACGACCGCTGTTGCCGCCCACTTGCTCACGTTTTACGGCCCACGTTGCTATCACGGTCACGCACGATTGCTATGATAGTCGGCGGTGATCCCGATCAATTCTTATTGTTTTCATAAACTTAGAAGATTGTCCCGGATACATGGGATTGCATAATACTGAGAAAACATCTTCTCTTAGTAAAAACGCACTTTCTTCTACTAATGATCAATTAAAGGGCTTAATCGAGAACTTTAATTGATCAGTAGCAGAAGAAAGTGCGTTTAATGTGCGTTATCTCAAATACATTGATTCATTAATTCCGTTCCCTGCGAATTATTGCTACAATTATACAGATACTTCTGTGAATATGTAGCAAAGATGTAGCAGCTAAATACCATTAATGGCTATGAAGTGTACAAGGCCGATCATTGCTGGCATACTTTGACGACGCTATGAGATAATGTCCTCTTAATCTTCGAGAGCATTGAAGGGAATTATTAAATCATCTCTATTTATCCTGCTGCATGGAGGATCCATCAGCTATGGAGAACATGGCGAGAATCGCGGGTTTCTCTATGATTATTTGATTTTGGCTGGCGGCGAGCAAATAAATAACGGATTACCGAGATCGACTCTTGATTAGACAACGTAACATCAAGATCCATTTTGTTCAGTATATTAATAGAACCAAATTTATTCTTGCTAAATTTTATTCGTTAATAATTTTTACCAAAGAGAATTGATTTTTACCAATCGTTCAAGATGCTATAAAACAATGACAAATACAATTCATAGATTCGCTAGTGTTAAATAGGTAATTAGAATTTGTATGTTATCAATCGAGGTTTATGACCTCAACGTAAACTAGGACACGTGAATCAATTGAGGAATGAATAAGCGAACACGAGGCAAGCAACCAACGTTTTAGACCTTAGCCGTAATAATTATGAATATCGTATTCGCAATGATGAATGTTATCGGTAGTCTGCGCGATCAGCAGAAATACATTAGCAGAGCAGAGCATTGATAAAACAATCTTACGTAGCGCGATACAGCTTTTATACAGACTGTTTCAAAATCTGTCTTTTTGTGATTAAAATTTTAACTTATTAAAATTATACACAAAAATGTTGAATCTTGAACTGCTCTGTCATTTTACATATAGAAAATGTTTCCTTTATGCATAAAATGTGAATAATCTCAAACTTACCTTCGTCGAAAAGGCATCCTCACACTCCGTGCAAAAAAGATTCTCCTCCTTTTCGTGCAGCAACATGTGAGATTTGAGACTCGCCATTCTGGCATATTTCCTACCACATTCGGGGCATTTTGGGTCACCGGTATTATGCGTTGCCATATGAAGCGTGAAATTTGTCTGTAATGATACCATTATATGAAGTTACTAGACTGAATCCATTGCACACATCCAAGATCAAGAAGCAACTTTCTCTCCTTACTGCTATTAATTTAATTCTATAAGAAATTAGTCGGATTGAACAAGTTTATTCGGCAGAAGTTCTCTAAATATACTTTTTAGTCATCATGTAATTGTTTTATTTTCTCTATCATATAATTTCTTATTTGTCATATATATTAATTAAAATTATAGCGATATGTATTGTATAATATATATATATGAGTATATAATGAATACTTGATAAATGTATCAGTTTCCTTAAGATAGAAATATATTACGAAATTCTTTTCTCTTAAAATCTCAATGATAGAACAGATATTAAAAGACATACTGGAATATTAAACGATGCTGGACATTTGGGACATCTATGCGGTTTTTCTTCGGCATGATTTTCCATATGTTTACGGTATAATGCTTGTTTAGTAAATTCTTGACTGCATATATCACACTGCAGAAACTGCGTATTCTATAACAAAGTATTAATATATAATTTTGTGATAAGAATAATTTATATTATGACGTATAAAATAAAATATATTCCTATATTCCTATATAAAATGTTAACAACCAATCCATTTCAGAGATGATAAAAATATTTTTCAGTTGTAGACAATCAAGTTGTAATCAATCAAGGATATAACATACTTGCGAATTTACTTCGTTCTTCTTTGGTCTCCCTGGAGATCTTTTGTAAATGTTTTGTATGGTATTAAATACAGGCGTAGATTT